TGCTAAAGCTAAAGAAATTGAGAATGTTGAAACTGATCAAAATTATGATTCACCTATTATGCCTAGCTCTCCTACAATAGTTGAAATGCCTAAGATACCTGATGGTTATGTTATAGATGGGGAGACAACTAGGGAAATTCTTGCTTGTAATGATAGAGATGATGAAATATGATCCTAAGTTTGCTACTTCTCATATCTTTGTTATCGATAGGGATTATGAATTCTCTGTCGATCATGAATTAATTACTTTGGTCGAATCTACTCCTTTTCATGGTTATGAAACTGAAACTGTTATAGCACACCTTACCAAATTAAATGATATTTCCACCCTATTTGCTCATGAGAAAAAAAATCGTTACTATTACATTCTTAAGTTGTTTCCTTTCTCATTAAAGGATGATGCTAAGAAATGGTCTAATACTCTTGCTCCTAGTGGAACCTTATCTTCCCAAAGCTTCCTAAAGCCTCAAGCCTCTCAACATCTCCATGTTGTTTTGGCTTTATCCGTGCGAAGTGCGCCGTAGTTTAATTAAGGTACTTTTATGTTTATAATGAGGCAGTATGTTTTATAAACCAATAAGTTATTAATTCTAGTTCCAATTTATGTTTTCGAGGCGCCTATTTGTGCAAATTTGTGTTTTTGAGGAGTTAAGAATTCGGGGAAAAGGTCTACATGCAAAAAAAAACTGTGGAAATCCAACTTGTCTCTAGGGAGCATATGCTCTTGCACGTCAAAAATGTATTTTACAAATATTTAAAAATAGATATGTCCATTGTCACACCAAAATGCTAACTGCAAATTTTAAAGGCAAAAGCTTAAGCATTTAAAAAAATTCAAACGCTAAATGTTCTTTTCATATACGAAGCATCGCTTTCCTGTTTCGCATGAAAAGTGTCAAGCATGCTTGTTACACTAACATGAACATTTTAAAACATTCAGAATTTTTAAATTTTGTTAAGTTTTTTTGGAGGAGGGGGGTTAAGAGAAGAGGTAGAGATGCTCTAAATGTGGCTGCCAATGTGTATCCCTGTCCTTCCTAGTTAAGCACGATCTCGAGTTGCAGTATATCAAATATCCTAACTGAATGTGTTACAACCAGCCAACGCCAAAGATTTGGAATCCTTGGTGTGCAGGCCATCTCCGGGTTGAACACGAGCATGTGACGTATGTGCCAAGTCTCAACTGTCAAATCTTCGCTAGGCTAGAGTGTTGCACTCGTATGAGACTTGTGTAGTGTGTGGTTGATGTCGTCCTGGTTTGGTACCTGTCGCATTCGCCTCTTTCATGTTCTGCTCCCCTCCCTCTCATGTGTGTGTGCTCCTGTAGTTGTACTCTGTCAGGCAGTACACAACTACACTAGAGAGGGTCTTCAGGACGAGTAGGGTATCTCTAACGATGACTCTTAAAACGCCCACATCATAAATTACTTAACCTCATGTGGAGCATGGAGTGCTAGTCTTATCAGTACTAGGCTATATGCGAAGGGTCGACAATACAACGCAATGAGCATCATATAAGAAATGAGGGGGATATGTCGTGTTTCTTTTAGAATCTTGTATGTATGTATCGTTTTATGCGAGATGAATGATGCCCTTGCCTTAAGGATGGCCTAAATGGGCCGCCCAACTCAACATTTATAAATTTTCTGGATGGTTTATTGTTATTTTACATTTTTCAAAATATTATAAATACAAATATGGTTTAACTTGTATTAAAAAAATTGTACTCACAGTATTTAGAAAAACTTACGTGTATACAAAAAATTTATTTAAAAATAGACATCAAAATATATATTTGAAAAAAATGTTAATCATGTATTAGAAAAATAGACAATGTGTAAAAAAATATAGAAATGTGTTAAAAATGAAGAAATAAACGAAGAAAACAGATGAAAACCGAATAAGGAAACAAAGAAACCGAAGAAAAAGGAAAAAAAGAAAGTAAGAAAAGAAAAACCAAGAAAAAAACGAGAAGAGCGGGAACAGTCTGCTACACTATTTGGGCCGAATCCACGGGGTCCTTCTCGGGTCAAACTCGAGAAGGACCCCGAGAACGGGTCAAACTCACTCGATGGAAGCGAACCAACCTGTGGTTGAGATGGTTAGGTGGACAGTGGTATCCCCAGCCCACCAGAGTTCAAATTCTGGTGATCGCATTATTTCTGGATTTATTTCAGGATTTTCGGCGATGCGCTTTTAGTGGAAGGAGACGTTCCCGTCGACGACGAGGCGCCTACGGTGACTTCGTAAATCAGGATGATATGCCGGCTCAGTCTCTCGGCGGTGCTCATGGGGGTAGGGTGTGCATATGTGCGTTCATAGGATGAGTGTATGCGCGTGTATATGAGCGCTTGTGTCTGGACTGATGCTAAAAAAAACTAACTCGATGGAAAGAGCAGTCCACCCCATCTGGCGAGCCCCGCCGCCGTCGGCAGCCGCCGGTTCCGCTCGCCGCATGCCCCATGGACGCATTCCAGTTTCACACCTTCCTAGCCACGCCGCTGACTGCTGCCAGCCAGCAACAGTGAGCTCTCCTTCCATCCATCCTTTTTTTCCCGTATTGTGTGTTCTTGTGTTTTTCTGCTGCTGCCGCTGCCGCCGCCGCCGCCGCCGCCGCCGAGGGATACTGTGATTGATGCAGCTGTGTGACTGTGTTGACTGCGTAGATAATTTATCACTGGATGGATTTATCTGGCAAACCTCGCGGCGGTGTAGCCTGGCAATTGATGGCCCGTTGGTTGAGTTTCAGTGTATCAGTGTATCTTGTTCGTAGTTGCTACTGTTGCGAGTTGAATCACAAGGAGTCAGGGACTGATTCTAGTTCTCAACTTACTCCACTTAGTTCAGTACTTCAGTAAACGGTATTCATGGGGTAACTCACGCAATTCAGATTTCTGCTTCTTATAGCTTCATTGCAGAGAAGTCCAGGGATTTGTTATTTTTGCATATGAACATTTTGGAATTCAGAATTAGTTATCGTGCTTACGAACCTCGCTGAAATTCTGAATTCAATTGTGTGGCTGAAATTCTGAATCAATTGTGTTCTTGGTTCAGAGTTTTTGCCGAAACAAGTAAACTAAATGTGCATATGCCTCGGAAAGATGGAGACTGTTACGCAGTCATCTCTTGTCCATTGCAAATTGTTGAAGCAAATTAGCTCTATGATGTGACAACATCTCTGCTTCTTCTTTCTCTGAAATCTACAACACCAAATCCTAGCTAAGTCGGTCATTGTGCGACCCTCAGGATAACAGGCTGGTGCAGCCAAGGAGACTGATTCGTCTCATCGGCAATGGTAAACCTCTTACTATCAGTCTGAAACCTCACCGCCCTTGTGTCAAACTCCTTGAACTGAGCCAGATCAGACTCGGTCGAAGTTGACGATACCGCCATCCCGGAGTCTGAGTTTGAGGACTTCCCACTTGCTTGCCCGTGTGGCTTCTGCTGCTCCCGGTTGCTAGAGTGAGCTCAAGTTTGCATTCCTCTGCAGAGGCAGGGGTGCAGCTGTAGAGCTGCTGACGGTCGGTAGCCTTGTCGTCTCGCCAGACCTCGAGTTTATGTTTCGTCTCAGTGTGAGCCTGGTTCAGCCCAGCTATCTGCATCTCCCTCGTTAGTTGTTTCTGAACATGGTAAACTCGGTGCATCTCATGAACCTGGTTCAGCAAAGATGTGCAGATTGGTGAGAAGCTTTTTCGCCTATCTTGAAGTGCACAACTAATGTAGTACTGCTTCTTAGAAACTAGTCTTAATGTCTCAACTACTTGCTTCTACTCTATTTCCTATCACCTATTATTATTCGTACATCCATCAACTGGATATATAATGGGACGCAAAGAGAGCATGGTGCGACCTAGCAGTACTTAGGAAGTCACACTCACACCCTGAGCAAAGAGTTTCCCCTGTTTGCACGGTAGGAGACACCAAACTGCAGGCTACGAGGCTGGTTTGGACTAAATTTTGGGAATGAGTGGCATCAGGATATAGCCTCTTTCAGGCCAGTGAGCTCAGTGGGCTACATGTTCAGTGTTAACCCATGTCCAACCTGTAAGGACGGTATTAGATGGGAACACTCCTATTACTATTAAAACATGGGTATGCTCACATTTGTTGATGCATTGGAGAAATTAACTTATGTGTTAAGGTGTTGCATGTTCTGGTTAGTTCCCCAACTATGGAGAGCTACATACACACCCACGAAATTGTCCAGGGAAAAGTTTGCGATGATGCCTAATGACTGGCTGTATACTGGAAGCGCGTCCGGTGTTCTACTGGAAGATGCACACATAGGTAGAATAGTGTTTACACGAATGTGTTGCCTTCCATGTTGTTTGAATGTTTGTTCTTGCCCCAGGATAACCATCTTCATCTCCCCTCCGTCCATCTCTTGGAAAATGCTAGCTGCAAGTCTTTCTGTGTCTATCTCCAATCTGTTTCATGGGAATTTCAGAATGACTACGGCATGCAATTTCTGTCGTAAATGGTAATAAATAGGATCTGTCTTCGGTGTTGAAATATTTGTTGTAGTGCCTTGTTCCATTAATTGGTGGCTTTCAGTACGACCTATGTACTTATGTCCTTCAGAAAGAAAAGAAAAACGTCTGGATTATTTTCTGTGGAGAAACCAATTTCATTATTTTTCTGTGGAGAAACCAACTTACTCCGCTTAGTTGAGTAAACAGCTACAAATATTCATGTGGTAGTTCACGCAATTCAAAAATCTGTTGTGTTATAGCTTCACTGCAGAAAAGTCCAGTAAGTTGTTACTTTTGCATATTAACATTTTATCATACTTGTCGTGCTTATGAACGTGGCTGAAATTCTGAATCAATTGTGTTCTTTGTTCAGAGGTTTTGCCAAAACAACTAAATTAGATGTTACATATGCCTCCGAAAGATGGAGACCTCTTGTCTATTGCAAATTGTTGAACCAAATTAGCTCTGTGAAGTGACAACATCTCTTCTTTCTCTGAAATCTACAACACCAAATCCTAGCTAAGTCGGTCACCGTGCCACCCTAAGGATCACAGGCTGGTGCGGCCAAGGAGACCGATTCGTCTCATCGGCAATGGTAAACCTCTTGCTCTCGATCTGAAGCCTCACCACCCTTGTGTCAAACTCCTTGAACTGAGCCAGATCGGATTCGGTCGATGTTGACGACACCGCCATCCCGGAGTCTGAGTTTGAGGACTTGCCGACTTGCTTGCCCTTGTGGCTTCTGCTGCTCCCGGTTGCCAGAGTGAGCTCGAGGTCGCATTCTTCTGCAGCAGAGGCATGGGTGCAGCTGTTTGAGAAGCTGTAGAGTTGCTGACGGTCGGTAGCCTTGTCGTCGCGCCAGACCTCAAGTTTATTTTTCGTCTCAGCGTGAGCCTGGTTCAGCCCAGCTAACTGCATCTCCCTCATCAGTTGTTTCTGAACATGGTAAACTCGGTGCATCTCATGAACCTGGTTCAGCAAAGATGTGCAAATCGGTGAGAAGCTTTTTCGCCTATCTTGAAGTGCACACAGCAAATGCAGTACTGCTTCTTAGAAACTAGTAGCATTAATGTCTCAACTACTTGCTTGTACTCTATTTCTTCTTACATATGACTATTCGTACCTCCATCAATTGGATATATAATAGGATGCAGAGAGAGCATGATGCAGCCTATTATTACTTAGGAAGTCACACTCACACCCTGAGCAAAGATTTTCCATTGTTTGCACCGTAGGAGACACCAAACTACAGGCTACAGAGTCTGCTTTGGACTACATTTTGGGAATGGGTGGCTTCAGGATTATAGCCTCTTTCAGGCTAGTGAGCTCAGTGGGCTATGTCTTCAGTCCGAACTCATGTCCAACCTGTCAGGATGGTATTGGATGGGAACACGGCTATTACTATTAAACATGGGTATACTCACATGTGTTGATGCATTGGGGAAAATCAACTTATGTGTTAAGGTGTTGCATATTCTGGTTAGTTCCCCGACTATGGAGAGCTACACACACCCACGAAGCTGTCCATGGAAAAGTTTCTGATGATGATTGCTGCCCTAGTACGGCTGTATACCTGTCCAATGTTCTACTGGAAGATGCACATACGCATAGGTAGAATAGTATTTACATGAGGTGTTGCCTTACCTGTTGTCTGAATGTTCGTTCTTGCCCCAAGATGACCATCTTCATCTCCTCTCTGTCCATCTCTTGGAAAATGCTAGCTGCAAGTGTTTCTGTGTCTATCTCCAATCTGTTTCATGGGAATATCACAATGAGCACCGCATGCAATTTCTGACATAAATGGCAATAATAGGATCTATGTTCAGTGTCGAAATATTTGTTGTAGTGCCTTGTTCCATGAATTGGTAGCTTTCATTAGAACCTATGTACTTATGTCCTTCAGGAAGAAAAGAAAACGCCTGGATTTTTTGTTTTTGTGGAGAAACCAATTTTCATTTGTTTTTCCGATTGAACTTATAGCTTTCAAAAAATACAGCCGATCAAATCTAGTACTCCCTCCAATCCATATTAATTGTCCCTGATTTAGTACAACACGAAATCAGCGACAATTAATATGAATCGGATGGAGTACTGTATTTCTCTAACTAAGTGAACGGCATTCTGTTACGCTTCTGGCAACAACCGTAAAACTGTTCTTTCTTTCTATGACAGGGTAGCAAAATGGATAGAGCTATGAGGGAGACGGAGAAAGAAGCAGCTGGCAAATTCCCTTTCAGACTAGCGCATGCCACTAGGCCTTCCGAAAAAATCCATCGCAAGATACAGAACATCACAAGGCTAGAGCACTTGAGAAGAACACAAGGATCTGCCTACTCCGAGCTCTGAAGCATGCCACAACATGTTCCATGGAAGAAGAAGAAACAAGACAAGGAAGAGATCAGAAGAAGGATGTGCCCACCTCTGTTTTGGTTTCCAGCCGCCTCCCAAAGAAGGTACTCCCTCTGCCTCTCCCCAAGAAGCTCTCCTCTCTTACAGTTTGTTTACCAGGCCAGAGCTTTGCTTCTGCTGAGATGCAAGCAAGCAAGCAAGCAGGTAGATATAGTCATATAGATATGATTTGAGGCACTAGGGCGAGAGGGAGGTGATGGAGGAGATATAAGATTCTCTCCGGCTGCCATGAGCTTCACAGCGCAGCAGCTGGTGGGGCCTTTTTTGTAGGCATGCCGAACGAATCCAAGTCACTTTGTCCAATGAGTTCGATTCCATGTATCTTGATGTGTCAAAGATGCTTCCGTCTGTCTGGTGCCAGGAAAAGGATAGGCATGATGAGATAAGAAGCTCCAGCTGAGTATTATATTTTCAAACAACCTCTAAATCCTGTGTGTCCCCTGGTGTCTCTACACACTTGAAACGCCTTGGTTCTAGTAATGTTATATATACACATGCACTTGGATTGCCTGCTAGGGATTAGAGAAACATGTTTTCCTGTAATATCATTGTGGGTTTTCATGTAATGGTATATTAAGATTTCATCTATGAGAATATTTCTAGCAATCACCCCGGTACACTATCAAATATGTTGGGTATGTGCTTTGTTTTTCTTTTTAAAAAGGAGGATAATCCATGACCTCTGCATTTCTTTTTGAATTGTTTGGATTGCTTATCACATACTCCCTCCGTTCGAAAATACTTATCATAGAAATGAACAAAAATGGGTATATCTAGAACTAAAATATGTCTAGATACATCTATTTCTCCGACAAATATTTTCGGATGGAAAAAGTATGTCACATGGTATGACCTCTGCATTATTGTGATGCACACAACCATAGGGTACTAGTGGTAGCGTGCTTTGTTAGTCTTTGATCATATTGTCACTTTGTGATGTGTACCTTTCATGTACTTACCGGGTTGCCGTAGCACATTAGAGTCCTCATTGTTTTTTATGGATCAATCCCTCCCAAGAATCATTGAGCAGACAAGTCGACATGCGGCGTGTCTAGATCTCTCGTATTCACATGCGCACCGGATTACTACTGTCAACTCCAGTTGTCCATATCCTAAACACATATTATAGTGATTGCTTATGTTAGTGCCATCCTAAGTCAAACTATCAGCCTCGCATGGGAAATAAAGCTACCGAACGATGGCGACAGATCATGCAGTTAATTTATATTTGGTGCAGAATATGTCATGCTTTATTCCAGGATAATTAAGTTTATGACTTGTAGATCAGTACATTATTTGCCTTGAATAATATTGTTAGAGCATCCACAACAGGACGCTCTATACAAGTCCCAAACGCCGAGACGGCCTGCCCGGACGCAAAATTGCCCCCTGACTGGACGCCCCAAACTTAGCCTATACGTTCGGGCTGACCGGCGATGGATATGGGGACGCCCGGATGAGCCCAGGCGTATCCGCCGCGTTTGATGTCGAGCGAAGAGCGGGCGGCAGCGCGACCCCTAATGACGAGTCCATTGTCTGCAGGTAGAGTCAACCGTTCTAGTTGGGCCTGGTCAACGGTAGAGGGCTTCCGCCCTTGGTCAAGGAAGGAGCTTTCTGAATAAAAAAGGAAGGAGCTTTGGGCTCCGCCGCCGGTTTCTCCTTAGCGAATGTTGCTTTCCCTCCCTTGCGGTCCTCCCCGTCTTCGGCCATGGTGTCGGAGGTGGCACAGGCTAAGGCCCAGTTCTTTTGGGCGATTCTCCCAGAATCGCCCCCCTCCCCAGCTTCTCCCAGAATCGTCACTTCATATATTTTTTTACAATCCTATCTAGTTAAGGTCTAATTAGCTAGGATTGTAAAAAAAATTGCAGTGACGATTCTGGGAGAAGCTGGGGAGGGGGTGATTCTGGGAGAATCGCCCAAAAGAACTGGCCCTAAATGTCTTTACGCGAGGTGTTTAGAAGGAGGCAAGAGCTCTAGACATAAGGAGGAAGAAGGCCAGGGGAATAGAAGCATAAGACTATCCCGAGGCGCCTTCTCTTTTTATAAGAGGGGTAGAAACAAAACGGTGCGCGAGCTCATCGCCTGTCTCGACGTGACGCAAGACCTTAGACCACTCTCTAAAACTAAATGTTGGCTGAGAAAGCTCAAGGCGGCCTATCTGGGCCTATCTTCTCTTGACCAGTCTATTGTGCATCCATGCATCTCACCGGTAGTAGAAGAGGCACATTTTCCCCCTCAAGGTGGGTGATTCTATAATCTCCGAGCCACCGGACTTGGCGGTGGACACTAATAGAAAAAGGGTCTAATGTGAAACTCATTAGTACCGGTTCCAACGGCTAGGCGGGCGGCGCTCATTAGTACCGGTTCGTGGCGAACCTTTAGTATCGGTTCGTGCCACGAACCGGTACTAAAGAGGTTGTGGCCTTTAGTACGGGTTGGTGGCTTCAACCGGTACTAAAGGGGGGGTCTTTAGTACCGGTTGGAGCCACCAACCGGTACTAAAGGTGGTGGCCTTTAGTATGGGTTGATGGCTCCGACCGGTACTAAAGACCCCCCTTTTAGTACCGGTTGGAGCCACCAACCGGTACTAAAGGTAGTGCGCTGCCACCCGCAGTGCATAATGTTTAGTCCCACCTCGCTAGTTGAGAGGAGTTCGCACCGGTTTATAAGCCCCCTCGTGGCTACCGTGTCGAGCTCCTCTCTAAGCAGGCCTTTGTGGGCCTATTACAAGTCTTCTACCCTGTGGGGCCTACTAGGCCGTACGGGCCTGCATCCTGGCCCAACTAGAGATTGGGTTTCTAGTCGTACGCATGCCATGCCGGCCCAGTAGGCGGGCTGTTTTTACTTTATTTCAAAAATAAAAAATCCTTACCAACCGGGACTAAAGGTCCTCCAGACCACGGCGCGCCTCATGCCACGTGGTTGCCCTTTAGCACCGGTTCATGCTGAACCGGTACTAAAGGGGGGGCCTTTAGTGCCCACACTTTAGTGCCGGTTACCGAACCGGCACTAAAGGGCCTTACGAACCGGTGCTATTTGCCCGGTTCTGCACTAGTGGGATGCCTATGACCACTTCACTACCGTACTCGGCTCAGCTGAGGAGCGCTGCTACTCCATCAACCTTGCGTCCATCCACCAAGGCCCGTCTGATCCAGGAGAGCTTGAGCTGCCATTTTCTGAGGATGAAATTTGAGCTGCCATGAAACCACTTCCCACCGGTAAGGCGCCCGGCCCTAATGGCTTCTCAGTGGAATTCCTACGAAGTTGCTGGCGGGTGATCAAGCATGATATTTGCGAGGCCTTTGACAAGCTTTACATGCTCAACGGTCGCGGCTTCCAGAAGCTTGATGAAGCTTTCATCGCCTTGCTTCTGAAGAAGTCTGATGCCAAGACTTTGCATCACTACCAGGCTATCAGTCTCATACATCTCTTCGTCAAGCTTTTCGTCAAGGTGCTCCCTCCACTTGGCTCCCTGACTCAGCTCGATGGTCTCCATGAACCATAGCATGTTCAACGTCGGCAGATGCATTCATGACAACTTCCGCCTCGTCCAGCAAACTATGCGCCTCCTCCACAATCTAATCTGAAATTTCCAAGGATGTTGCTGAAGCTAGACATTGCTTGTACCTTTGATTCAGTCTCCTGGGCATTCCTGCTTGGCACCATGATTCACCTTGGCTTCGGGGCTAGGTGCGAGAGTGGATCTCCATCCTTCTGTCCACAACCTTGACTCGTGTCCTCATCAACAGTGTGACTGGACCTTCCATCGGGCATGCCTGCGCCAGGGTGATCCCCTCTCGCCCATGATGTTCACGCTCGTCATTGGTATCCTCAACTCCATGGTCACCAAAGCTGCCGAACAGGGTTTTTTAGCACCTTACTTCGCTCTACGCCGACGATGTGGTTATTTTCTGCCACGCAGACTGCACGATCCTCCTTGCCGTGCGTGAGATTCTTCAGTTCTTCGGCAACATCTCCGGTATGCGAATTTTGGCAAGTGCTCCGCTTCCCCGATTCGCTACTCTGAGAAGCAGTCCATCAAGGTGACCTAAATCATGAGTTGCCCGGTCTCTCAGTTCCCCGTCGCCTACCTTGGGCTCCCGCTCTCCGTGTGGAAGGTGCCCATGTCCGCCCTACGTCCCCTCATTGAGAAGCTCGAGAAAAACGGTCTCCCTGGTATGTCTCCATGCTCTCCCTGGGTAAGAGATTGGCCTTTGTTCTTCATGTCCTCTGTGTATTGCCCACACACCTTCTCATGGCATTTGCTCTGCACAAGTCAGTTTTACACCGGTCCA